TCTGCTGTCAAAATATCCTTTGTGATTTGTCCTCAGAATCTATGTTAGTTAAAATTAAAGCCTGTAGAATAGAAGAAAAATAATAAGTAATATCTTTGGAGAAGAAGAGGAGGGCAAGCCAGAATTGTTATTTCCTTTCCAGAGGCAGAAATAACAATACATTTCTGTTAGAAACTTAAGTTCTCTGTTATTTTTGCTCAGTGAGTCTTTTCTTGTTTGATAAATTATTTCCATGGCTAAAAATTTATCTCTTTCTAGCCAATACATATGATTAGAACTTAAATAGTATCTTTCCAACTGAAAGCACATTTTGTATAGGTAAGAAAAATGCCAGTAAAGTTTGCTAGTGAACTCCCTTGCTGAATAAAATACCTGAAAAAGAGGCCATTCTTCAAGCTTCTACCTCACAGAAGTATGGGAATATTTTCAGTTGAGTATTGAGTGTCAGGGAAGATCAATGTTATGTAAACTGATGAAGCAATCAATACACAGAAGTTCTCTTATCGTCACTGTTCAGAGCTCCTAATGTAATTTTTTAAAAACACAATTAAGCAGAAGGAAAAAGGCAAGAGTAAGATATTATGAGATAATCACACCTCTAGGCCATTATTAAACATTGAACTGAATAAAGGCCTAAACAGCCTCTTCATAGAATAGGCTGTTTAATGGTTATCACTATAGAACTATTAGTCCCTTTTATCTAGTCAGTCCGCTTTTGGTGTATTTGACATCAATGTATTTGCATCTGTCTTATTCTGCTGGTTTTGGGCTTTCAAATCTGATGTCTGGCCAAAAAAAAAAAGAAGTCAGATGCTGTAAATGTATTTGGTTTTCTTCTGCAAAATAGCAATTTCTGAGAAAAATGAAAAGATGGTATTTCCTCTCTGCCAACTAGTATAATGTTTACATTAGCAAATACAGGCAAGATTCAGAGACTAATTTAATATGAAGTTTTATTTTCTGTGCTTCATATTTGGTAAGTGACAGTATGACTTAGGATTCTAAAGATAAAGTTTTACTGTATTTTATATCAAGAAAGATAATTTCTCAGTTAATTTGAAAATTTTGGGTAGGGGTTGCTTTGAAGCTGACAGTCTTCAAGAAGAATAGTGATTCCAGAGTTGAGGTAATTTTTTTTTTTTTTTTTTTTTTTTAGACTAAGGGGCCCCCAGGAGACACCCCACATTTTCTGTGGATTGCCATGAATTTTTCATGGACTACAATTCACTCTGACCATTAGAATTTCAGGTGTAAATAGAGTGGCTTCCCGTGGACCTGCTATGATCCATACACTACAGCCTCAGTCCATGGTCTGCAAGTTGCCATTCGGCATTGTACTAAAGCTTCCAATCTGTTCTGCAGTGGGGGCCAAGCTTCATGGAAAATCTTTAGTCCTCATGCTTGTGTCTACATATTTTCCATTCTGTTAAAGACATATTGATATTTTTTGTAGAACATAATTTAATGTGAGATACAAAATATTTAAAAAAAATATAAAATGCTAAATAAACATACATTGTCAGCACTGAAAGTATTTCAGACATCTGAATTCTCTTTTAATTCCTATTATATATTTTCCCACCTTCCAGAAAACCTGAGTATTTTTTTAACTGCCTTTTCCATTAATATGCCCTTTTAATTGCCTGGAAATTTATCCTAAATTTGATTCTGTTCCAAACACTTGTTCAGCAAAACTGGCTGATGATTAGCCATTTCTGGACCAGAGTTTATTACAAGAAAAACATATATGAACCCTCTGTGGAATTTTCCAAGATTTCTGGAGAGGAAATGCAATATCCTCTTTGTAGTACAGAGTGAGCAGATATTCTAGTCCCAGCTTTGCTGCTAACTTTCCTGTGTAACTTTGGACAAATTGCTAAATTTCTTCTGCCTCTTTTCTTGCTTTGTAAAAGAAGCTAATATTAACTTGCCACCCAATAATTTGACAAGTCTGAGTGAACGTTTGCAAAGTACTCTGAGAATGTCAGATGGAAAATGTTATGAAAGTCCACTAGCCGAAGAGGATATTTACAATAGGTTCTTATTTTATTTAGTGAAATAAAAATGTTCAAGCGTATAACCAGATGAGACCAGGACTGATCTAAAATTAAATGCAGGAGGCATTTTTTGACCTTTCAACAGAAATTATATAAGCACTCATAGGTTATAAATAGTCCTTTGTTTCCCTTCTCTTTGTCTAACACTCAGAAGAAACACAGGGTTAGTTGTTTGTTATGAAGAGATAGGGCAATGCTTTAGAGTGGAAACAATTGTTCACTGTTCTGTATTTATACAGTTCCTATAATGTTTGTAACTAGCATTTGTTGCTTTTCTTAGCACTTTTTTATCTTCAAAAAGCCACAGAAATAAACTTTCTAGACCTGAAAATGACAACACCAGAAGAAAACCCAAACACTCACCACCCCATTTCAAGTGTGAAAGTTTCTTTTCTCTTTACCTGTTTGATATGTGACTGAAGAGAAAAAAAGCCAGTGCTAAACTATTGTTAAACTGGTACATAAATACTTGTATATTATTTCCTATTTTTATTACAAATTCTCAGAAATAAGACATGAAATGTGTCCACCCTTAAATGAAAGTATTTTTATTCATGTTGAGGATAATGATATTGAATTCTTCACAGAATGCCATGTGTGCATGTATATATGTTCATATTTCCAAATATGTTTAGTTTCAACAGTAGTCCTTTCCTTGAACAACCAATAAATGCTTAACTAACAGCAATTTAATTTTGTGGTTAAAAAAAAAAAAAAGTTTAACAAACAGAAGCCACCTGAAACCTTACCCTGAAGTCAAATAATTGTCATCAGTGAGAAAGCAACAGTATGAAAATACCACTTACCTTTTTCTTACTTTTTTATTTTCCTACTTTGTGTGATTTCTCTGGGGTTCATATTATGGGAATAATATACTTGACATTAAAATATATGTGAGGTAAATGGCTTTATTAGTTACCACACTTCATTTCATTTAGATTTTTAATCACCTTTCAAACCCGTTCATTTGCTTCATAACTTTTCACTGAGAGCAAGTACAATTATATACAGTAAATTGGAATAAATGGGCTGCAGCAAAGAGTACACAATTAGGCTTCTGGAATAAAAGGGATCTGAGTTTAAAAACCAGCCATAGTGCAGTACTGTCAGTCTCTATAGGCTACTTAGAAAATGCACTGGAGACCAATCAGGCCTTGATTGCTTCAGAATGGAGGCTGGGGGTGGCCACTCCTGAAATGACACCTAGGCTTAATTCCCATTTCCCTTGGTTATGTTGAGAAAACTTGTGGTATTATGTATAATCCAGTCCTCAGAGTTTAAGCAAATTAAACACTTGGGATCAAATTCACACATAATGTAAGACCATGAACTTAATAGAATTAAAGCAAAAAAAATTTTTTTTTTGTCAGTGTTACATTATTTGATGGCTCTCTTACGTAGTGATTTGTGGATTTATGAAGCAGTTTAGTAGCCCTGATGACTTTACTCCATAATGTCCAAAAATCTTTCTCCATCCTGTACTTCAAATGTCTGCAATGATTTAATATAACTAATCCAACTTACTGAGGAAAGGAAGTTCTGTCTCTGTGACAACTTCATTTTGAGTTTCTTTTCTGAAACTGTCAGCAGGATGCCAACTAGTGCCAAATTTGATACCGTTTTTATGAAGTGGTCACTCGTCCACAATGAGCTGGACTGAGGCTACTTACCTAACAGTATTCTCAGGCTAGGAATGTATCTTTAGATGCTACTGCTGGTGCCAGATTTTTGTTAATAATCACGGACCTTCTTTTGAAATAAAAAAAATTACTGTCTTCAGAATGTTTCCTGTAAATCAAGCCTGTGGGGACAGGCTGTCTAGACTAAAATTATTATATTCTAGCTTCATGAAGTAAAAAGCGTAGCCAAGCCTGAGTGTGCCATACTTCCAGGTGCCCTTAGGAGCAGAGGTGCCTGTAGAAATGTTATCAGTTCTCTCTTCAGTTGAATGACTTCCTCAGCATAGCAGAGGGACAACAAACGGGCCTTAAGCTTCTGCTGAAAACAGCAACATCCGCTAAGGAAAAGGGGAATTCTAAGATGAGGCATTGCCCTGGCTGAACTCTGTTCTTGCTTCTCTCAGAGATTTGCTGTGCGGCCTCAAGTTAGCTATGTAACAACCTTGTGCCTACTATCACGGGTGTAACCTTAATACGCTCTTACTGCTCTATCTCGGAGAAAGGCATGGGCTTTGACTGACTTGTGTCTGAAGAGGAACTGAGATTATTGGATGAACAGTGCCGTACAAATGCCGCGTGTTGTAAACTCGTGAGTGAGCACTTTGGCACGAAGACGCGTGGTGTGGTCGTGGTCCCAGAAGAGCGTTTGCGAAGATAAACGTCGTCTGCGTGAATGGCAATGCAAAGCACCTACTGTGGGCAGTAAATGACATTCCGGCCCGCTGTTCTGGGGTTTGCGAGTGCCTGGGCTGCTGCGTACCTCAAATTAGGCGGAGAGAGCACGTCCCGGAGCACAGCGCGGCCGCCACAGCCGCACCCCCGTGCCGACCTGCCCGGGCTCTGCCTTGCCGGCCTCCCCCCCGCTGCCTGCCAATGTGACTCCGTATGCGCTGAAGCCCGACGTTTGCAGCCCTGTGCCCGCTCCGGGCCTGGCGATTCAGACGCGCCCGTCGATTCAGACGCGCCCGTCCCAGGCCGCTGCGTGCCGCCGGCGGGGCGCCGGGCCGGGCCGGGCCGGGCGAGG